AATTTCTGATCTTTGACAATAGCAAATTTCAAAGCCTGAAAATACGATGAAGGGGCGCCATATAAAAAGTCAGTGATAATTCGCTCAATAAGCCACGGATCAGCGAGGAGCGTATTATGCAAACGATCATACTGCTTGGCTACCTCTCATACAAAGCCATAAAAATACTCTGTTCGTCATTTTTATTTTTAAATGAACAGATCATCGAAAGTATCTGCAAAAAAAAATTTAGTGCCTATCCATTTAACAAGCGTTTTTGCTATTTAAAATTCATACCCAACTCCAAAAATATTTCACTTCTTTTTACTCTAACTGTAAGTATCAAATTATTAAGTCAGTAATTTCCAAAAAAGTAAATGCTGCTCTAATTTATTTGGGTAATCGTTAAGTGAGCTTCAATACAATATTGATACGGTAATACTATAACAGTATGATTATTCAGGACTCCCGGGATAACGATCGATAAATCCAACTGAATCTCGTACAATATATAATTAGAGATTTTAAAAAGTTCAAAATAATATGAACTTCTATATATAAAAAGTAATGAGATCTTGCTTGTTAATATAAACTCTCAGCTACCATAGCAACTATGTAGGATAGAATTATTTTCATTCAAATAAAAAAGACACTTTGAGGAAGTAATTTTCAAATTGTTGAGCATTACAAGTCAGTTCACTATAAATTCATTTGTGGATTTGACTTTTTAAAAATCTGAGTTTAATTTATTTCATCAACTTACCTAACTCAACTCATTTCATTTCAACAAAATTGATATAAATAGTAGTGAAAAAAATGCACCAAACAATCTGAAAACTTTCTTCAATGCCTATATTTTATATGAAGACGTAAAATATTACTCGCTTCAAATACTATTTGCTGATTTTTTATAACGATAAGTATTGGAGATGTAATTCACACATTCTTATCCCTTCCAAAGAAAACAATAGCCCTTTTTGCATGCAATTGTCTTCAGGCCATTACTGTTATAATCTCTTATCATACTAACATTAATGTGACTTATGATCGCTACCAACTTTTTAAGTAATGATAAGAAAGGAATCATCTTGGAAACTGGTCTCGTTTTTTGTGGATAAAAATTATTTAATTAATTGAGTTAAGTTCAGTTTAATATTAAAAAAACTTCCAGACTTTTTGCAGCATTAGATTTTTCATAGAAAATATGAAAAGTAAATGAAAACTATTAAAACAACAAATTATATAAAAAAATAGTGACAAAAATTTTATGCATCAATTATGAATGATAGGTTTCGTGATAGGAATAAATGCGAAACAACAAGCAAAACATGCTAAAATGAAATGATTCATATCAAATAGAAGTTTTATTGTCGGATATAAATGTGTTATTTACAAAAAATTACTTAAACGATCCATGAATTCTATTTCCAATCGGCGTTCTCAACTTGAAACGTAAACTAATGTCATTTGAATAACGAATTAACTGTAAAATAATCTATGTATTAATTGATCGTTTATATTTTCTACATCTTTACAATAATTACCTAAAATGAAAAATTATATCGTGTATTTATAAATGCCACATATTTTTTCAATTTTATAGTTGTATGAGATATCGTAGAATGATTATTTTCATTTGTAATACAGTAATATGCTAAGTATAAGGTAAGGAGGCGTTAAATTCATTACGTACACACACAGACATACACAAACATACACAACATACACACACACAAAATATACACAACACAACTTCATGTATAATAATATTTGAAATTTGCTATGGAAAGATGAATAATGCGTAAAGATAAAGATTTTGTACACACATGAAATGAATGAAAAATTTTTCGTTTTCGTTTACAAATATTACCCGAAATGACATTATTTTGCATGTACGTCTTATTGTTATCAATGAATGCATTTTAATGAGCGATCGATAGCGAGATAAATACAAATAAATAATAAATGTATGAAAGAAAAAATATGGCAATAAATAAATCATTTCGTTCACAAATAAGTAGAATAAACAAATATTGATTTTTTTAAAATAATAAACGGGCAAACAGATAAACAAATAAATAATGTGATATATATTCCCAACTGCGGAATGTGCCTGATTAGATGGTCAGAGAACTTCGTTATCAATGATAAATACATTACAACTTGTGCATGAGAGATTAGTACATTAAAGGAAAAGATATCTTAATAATTCATTTTTTGTGCAACAACGATCAAGATATTACCAGTAGTAAAAGTCTCTAATTTGGCTAATTATATAGTAAAACAAAGTAAATACCAATTAGGAACGTTCAATTTCTTTGACATGAACACTAAATGCAAAAGTAAAAGTGAAGACAGTTGGCATGCATGCACGTAACATGTGCGCAATAACATTTTAAAAAACTATGATATATGAATATTTATTTTTGTCTTCTTCTTTTTTCTAAAATACGCATGAATTTAGTGAAATAAAAATTTAAATGAACAATGAATTTCGTCTGCTGTGCATTGTAAATAAACCCGTTTTTTTCTCTTACATGCCAGCAAAATTTACAATCGATAGATGCACGGAAAGGAAGCGATACATGTCATGATTATTATCAGTTATTAGTTATCATTAGCGCTTGAAATTTAGAGTCATTTCATTCGTTTCAGTTCATCGCGAAGAATGAAGCAGTAGAATATTTTTCTCTCCTTTCCTCTCATTAATATGTTTTATCCTCACTTTTTCTGCAGAAAATAATTTCCTGCCGACGATTAGTTATTTCTCAACTTATTCCATATTTTTATCAGAGAAATGTAAAGTGTAGTCAGATGAAAACGAAACCATAAAGACGGATAATCATAAATTTATAAATGATGCTTTGATAACATTATCGCAACAAATCATTGGCGAAAAAAAAAGAGATGCGAAAGTTGCGACTTGCAAGATTCGTAGCAGTTATTTCTAAACAATGATCTTTCTTTTTCTTTTAATTCTCAGCACATGCCGTATAAAATTTCATAAAAAGATTGGCGATTTTGTTGTCTTTATTAAATTCATTCAAACAACCAGTTTACTGCAATGGTTAAATCTGAGTTCTTGAGAAACGATTATACATTAAAATTCAATATTGAATAAACTATGTAATAATCGCTGTTTCAATATTTATAATCTGAATATTTTCCATTCTTTGATAATTTGAACATATCTTCTAAGGCAAAATCTCGACGTCTTATCACTCTTTTTTCAATAATTCAATAGTTTGTAAAATTAGAAATTGCAAATAATTAATAATGCCCGTCAGCAACTTCAAATCCTTTTGATTTCAATTATTCTATAATTATTATTGCCTTGTTTTATTTTCTCCCAAGTCATTTCTTCCTGGTTAAACAATTAATGAATGTAAAAATGAAATTATATCAAACAGTATTAATACAAATAAAATATGTGAGCATATATAAATACATATATCCAACATGTCACGTACGAGTACGAACATGTAATAAGATTTGTTGGATATAAAAATTTTTTATATTTTTATTTTTTATAAAAACCAAATTTTAATTTCATCATAAATGTAAACAGCAAATTTGAATGCATGAATTATAGTTATTATAAAAAGTTGAAAATAATATTATCACAGCGCGACCGATCGCTGAATAAATGCATCAAAAATTTTTATGGGAGAAGAAAAACTAATTAATTTAATATAAAGAAATATTTATTTATTGTGTGCAATATAAGTAAGAATATTCCAAATTGTATGAATATGTTTAAACAAATAGATTAGATTACCCTTTTAAATTCGTAAATTTATCTTAGAATTCAAGCTATTGGAACTTGGAATATTGAAACTAGTAGTGAAATTGGAAATATTGGACTGGAATTATTTAATATTGGAGTTATGGGAACTGGAAATATAAAAAAAAGTCATCAATTCCATATTCAAAGATCGTCAGTTACGAGCTCTTCAACCTTTCACTACACACCACTACTTATCCATTCTTTTTAATCTATAATACTATTGTTTCTCACATCTTCTGCTAATCTTTGTCTTCTCTCTTTTCACAGTGTCCTCCTTGTTTCTTTTCTTCTGATATTCATGCACAATTATATTTCGGTAGTCTTTTTATATCTATAGCAATCTACTCCATATGCCTAACATCTTATCACTCTCTGCCTCCATTCAAATTCCGCCTTAAAGACTCTCTCATCCTACTCTATTCAAATAGGTTTAAACTCAGTTTGCTAGATAATTAGAAAAGATTGACGTGAAAATTGGATTTGTAAATTTCAGTCCTTCTCGGGTGATTTGTTTCTCATCTTTTTTCTACGTTTGTTACGTTTTGCTGCCGATCACTACGTATCTCTGTCGGGTACTGACTACGTCTCCTTTGATATTCGCCGCATAGACGAGTTCATTTTCTCTGTTACATTCTTTTTCGTTTGACAGTGATTCTGTGAACTTCGCGGTGAACGCACTTTTTTTACATTTCAGGAAGATGCGACATATAAGCAATCGCTGTGTCACTGTGTCATTGCTAACTGCTTCTTTCTATGCTGGTTACTGGACTGACAAGTATATACTGAAACGAGCTAATGCTGCCACTGCGCAGGTACATTCATATTTTGGATTTTTAGTTCTAGTCTTAATATAACTGTTTTCAATCAGATATTTGCTTTGTACCTTTTTTCAAATTTCTAATTCCATTCTTTATCTATAGAATCCTAAAAATACCGTCAATGTCGGTGATACTTTAGAGGGCCCACGGAATTGGTAGTGTGTTAGATGTGGTGGTGAATTGATAAAAGGCTATTTTCTCGTTTTCAAATTGCTAGATCTATCGGGAAATATTAGGAAAGCTTATTTCACTGATTTCTTTCATTCTTTATTTGGTATATTTTAGCATTAGAATACATTTTCAGTTACCTGCAAATGCAGTGCCGCCACCCCACATTTTGCCCGGATCTTCTTCAATCGTGGATATTGATCATATGAAAGAACAGCCATCTCGTGCATCCCAAATAATGCGTTACGGTTATCCTGGTTTTGATAACTTACGTACTTTCGAAGATTATATTCTATCATATGACCGTCGGAATAGGTTGTTACATTTCACACATGAAGCAGCGAAGCGTTTTAAAGCTACTTTAATTACTTTAACACTTCTAAATAGAGAAATATTAGATGAACATAGAAAATAGATTTAATGCCAATTATAATTGCTCTTTGAAATACATGATATTGAGATACTGCATATTATCTACGCTCTGATTTTAAAGATTTTATTTGATTTCTCTCTTATTTTTACCTGTGTTGACTACCATCGAATGCTCAGTAAAATAAGCTATTTACCATTGCATGCTAAATAGCTTATTTTATTGAAATTTGTTATTTTGTTTTTTTTTTTTTTTTGCAGAATAGCCCACTGGGTTGTTGAACACCTAAGTTCGGATAGGTTAGTATACAATTCATCTGTTGACCGTGTCAAGTGCCACTTTTACGAAGACCCATCAATTCATCCCTATTTCAAATCAACGAACGATGACTATAAGGCACATTTTTGCATTCCAGGCTAGCTTCTTTTTCAACTGTTTCAGTTGCTTATTGTTCTACGAAAAGATGAGCGACCTGTCTAATGTGTGTAAAGTAACGGTTCTTCCACTTGCGTCGAAATGAAGATGTTTCCTTATGTGTCATTACAGATTTCATAACCTCTAGTAATTGCAGAATAGCGGGTATGATCGTGGACACTTAGCTGCAGCTGGCAATCATCGGCGATCACAAATTGCTATAGACCAAACTTTCTTGCTGAGCAACATAGCACCTCAAGTTGGGAAAGGATTTAATAGGGACAAATGGAATGAATTGGAGAAACATGTCAGGTAATTTGTTTAAACATCTATTTCATATGTATCTAATATTTTTGTTTATTTTGAAGGTTAAAAAAATTCCAACCATTTTATATCCTTTAGTGAATTATATCGATTATTAATTAGTCACTATTAATATCATTCTACATCTTGGTGCTCTTTTATATTTCGTTGCGTTTGTGATGTATTTTTTAGCACATTCAAGAATTTTCAAATTTTAGGAAGCTTGTTAGAAAACACAAAAATGTATACATTTGTACGGGACCGTTATTTCTTCCAAAATTAGAGAAGGATGGCTCATTGTACATCAAGTATAAAGTTATTGGTCGAAATAACATTGCTGTACCGACACATTTTTTTAAGGTACTGTGGCTCCAAGCTCTTCATTTACTAAAATCGTCATCTAACATCATTGATTTTGCATGCTTCAGGTCATATTGATAGAACTTATGGATGGCAAATTCGAATTAGAAGCATACATTTTACCAAATGCAGTAAGTTATTTTTAAGAGGTGGTCTGTAAGAGGTAATGAGCTTTTGTTTACTTAGTCCAAAATATATAACAGGAATAGCCATATCGGTATGTGGATATTTACTGAACTGACGAACTTACTCAAAATTATTTTTGCTAACTTTATAGTATTTAATAATTTCAGGTAATACCTGATGATACACCTCTGACTTCATTCATGGTACCGCTGGACAGTATTGAGCGCTCTGCTGGATTTCTAATTTTTGATAAATTGCCAAAGAACGCTTTAAAGAAGATTAACGGAAAATCGAGCAGCATGTTATGATGAAAATTGTAAATATATATAGTCATAATTGGTTATGTGTTTAATCGTTGGAAATTATTTAGCGCGAACTTACCGATAGCGCAAATGCTAAAGCTTATATTTAACTAAACGGGTCATTTACTGTTGTATATCATGCGGAATATACAATATGTAGAACGTATTCAGCTTTTAAGGCATGGAGTGCAAGAATAATTTCTGCGCGGTTAAATAATTATATTCAATATATTTCAAGTGTTTCATATTTGCATATCTGATCTCTTCTTAATTCATAGATTTTCAAAGACAAACCTTTAAGCATATCTCTTTTTTACAACTTTTAAAAGCTTTTAAAGTTCTTGTGACTGAAATAGTACCTGCGATGAGTTTGACAGAAATACATAAAATTCAAATTAGCTTCGATAAATTCAATGTGTATTATATTCCGGTCAATGGTTCACACGAGAAGGAAATTCAAAAGAGGGACAAAATGTTACGCAAAGAGTTTCCACAGTATTTTAACCTCACTTTTTATGTGCAATTTTAAATTTGGGTCATCATTTTGCAACGTTTTTAAATCGATAAGATTTAATAATTTATTAGCGACCGATATTTTGCCCATATTTTCCTCTGTCTTCAATTTTTACCTTTAAAGTTTAAACCTTCCAGCTAATTAGAGGCTTTAGGATGTTTTTGGAGTTTATCCGAAGGTGAAATGCTTAAAGGAACAGCTACCACTCTGCAAAACTTATGAGGAATTTCTGATCTTTGACAATAGCAAATTTCAAAGCCTGAAAATACGATGAAGGGGCGCCATATAAAAAGTCAGTGATAATTCGCTCAATAAGCCACGGATCAGCGAGGAGCGTATTATGCAAACGATCATACTGCTTGGCTACCTCTCATACAAAGCCATAAAAATACTCTGTTCGTCATTTTTATTTTTAAATGAACAGATCATCGAAAGTATCTGCAAAAAAAAATTTAGTGCCTATCCATTTAACAAGCGTTTTTGCTATTTAAAATT